ATATGTATGTATATATATATATATGTGTATATATATATATGTGTATATATATGTATGTATATATATATATATATATGTGTATATATATGTATGTATATATATATGTATGTATGTATATGTATGTGTATGTATATATATATATATATGTGTGTGTGTGTGTGTGTAGGGATATGTGGAATGTATTGTCATTGTTGCATAAAAGTGAGACCAATTTTTAGCCAAGGCTGAACAATAAAGTATGACTAACTAACTAACTATAATATCAAAGGTCAATTTGACCCATTTTCATTTTGAGTTGTCTGAAATACTGAAATACTTTTTTCCCTCTTTTTTTTGCTCCTTGAAATTCATTCACCTCATTTAGGGTCATGAACTTATATGCAAGTTGTGGACACAATGTGTTATGAAAAGTATGAATTGAACCCATTGGGTATGCAATGATTATGTTGAGTCATTCTGACCCTAACACTTTCACATGCATAGGTAGTTGGACATACCTAAAATAAAAACATTTCTTTGATGTACATTGTCTTATTCTCACTGCACTGAGAAGACGAAAGGGAGCTTTCCCACATTTCTTCTCAGTGCTGCTACAGACTTTGTCACACACAATCACATGTACACTAATTTATTAACAAGTTGAACCAGTTAATAGTATGACATATAGAACTAAACACAAGTACATTGCACATGTTTTTTCAATATCAACATAGACCTCTCAATACGACCTGTTTAAAAATAGTAAGCTTAAATGCCCGTCCAATGCCAGGTGTTCTTTGTGCCTTTTAGTACCTGGATTTGTGCACAAATTTAGGTTAAATACATTTCTCAAACTGTATCAAACAGTTGACCTTTTTATTTCTTTGCTACTGCTGATACATTTTTATGTTTGTGTAAGATTATATTTGTGGATTCCTGCATTCTTAATGACACTGTTCTCTTTTCCCTTCAGATCCAGGATCAATGTCAGATGAACTCATGGAGGCAGGCCTAATAAGTAAATATTTCTCAGAGGGCCACACCTATGACGTAATCCTTGATTTTCTCAAAACAAGGCACAACATCTTCCTGAGCCTGAGCACTTTAAAGAGAAAACTGAAAAATGCTGGCCTAACAAGGAGAACAGACTATAGTCCCATTGAAACTGTCAATGCAGTGATAACACATGAACTGACAGGCTCTGGACAGCTTTTAGGTTACAGAGCTCTGTGGCAGACATTGCGACAAAAGTATTTCCTAACAGTTAAAAGGGATGATGTAATGCATGCAGTTCGCAGACTGGATCCATCTGGAGTTCAACTTCGTCATAGACGCAGGTTTATCCGAAGAGGATACTTTACAGCAGGACCAAACCAAGTGTGGCATATCGATGGGTATGATAAGCTCAAACCATTTGGTGTTGCCATCAGTGGCTGCATTGATGGATTTTCTAGGAAAGTGATGTGGCTAAGAAGTGGCAGCTCTAATAACAACCCCGGGGTAATTGCTTATTATTACATGAAGTGTGCATCAGAGTTTGGAGTTCCAGCACGTCTTCGCACAGACTGTGGGACAGAAAATGGCACTATGGTAGCCATTCACTGTGCATTAAGAGCACAGTATACAGATGATTTTGCAGGAGTCCTCAGTCACATGTATGGAACATCAACTGCAAATCAGCGTATCGAAAGTTGGTGGTCCTTTTTCAGAAAGCAGAGGTACATGTATCTATTTAGTCACTTAGTTTTGTGTGTGTGTGTGTGTGTGTGTGTGTGTGTGTGTGTGTTGTCACATGACAGAGGTTTTCAGCTGTCAACATTCATTATATGAGAATATTGAGAATAATGAGAATCTTTTTTTCCCCTGATGGTATAAAGTTTGCTTTACATTGATTTCATTTCCATATAAATTTTATTCAGCACTAAACTAAAACATTGTGTATACTGTCATTCCATCACTAGGACTCAGTTCTGGATTGATTTGTTCAATGACCTGAGAGAGAGGCACCTTTTCAACGGCAGCCACGAGCATAAGTGCCTTCTGCGTTATGTCTTCTTGGGCATCTTGCAGAAAGACCTTGATGAGTACAGAGAACTTTGGAATAACCACACCATCCGACCTGTTCGTCAGTCATCTTGTCATTCTGGTAAACCAGAAGCCATGTATCACCTGCCTCACAGGTTCGTATTTAATCCTTGCAATATGTGACCATATTCAGTAAATATCAAATAAAAAAAAAAATTCAGTTTATCATTAGTTTTTTACTTGATCAATTCCACACTTGACGATTATTACATTTTAAATCATAACTAGATTACTATTTTAAAAATAATTCAGACACTCTTAGACAAAAACGTACAATGCATGAAGCAAAAAGGTGGAAACTTCTGGTTCACAAAGTGTGTTTGTAGTAGAAGCAAATGTGAGAACCATATTTGACAACAGATGTTCTCAACATTAAGAGTCAACCTTTGGCTTATTTGTCTTAAAATGGAAGATGTTCTCCACAGCATCAGCTGTCAGCTTGGTCTCAGTGTAGCACATGAATGAGAAGAAGAGTGAAGGATGCTGTTCCAAGGCATTGACAAAATCAAGTGTTGCCAATCCCTCTTTGAACCTACAAAAAGTGCCATGTCAAAAAGTTACTACAAGGGGGTTATGTGAACAACTAT